TGTCTTTGGCTCTCTACCAAAACCTCAAGTGGGCAAGGACCAAATTCACCAATACATGAGGTGCAGGGGCCTGGATGTAGAGAATAGAAACAGAAACACGTGTAAAACTGTTGCCACTTAAGATGAATAGATCACATTGTCACTGCTCGAGATGTGGTGAAAGGAAGAGCAAAGTTTATTTTTCCTCCCAGGATTTATAGGTTTCTGACCATGGCCAGGGATTGGATGGTCAGGATAACACTTTGCCACTCCACTGGCCACGAGAGATGTCCATCACAAGACATGTAACAGAAGGAATGTATACCTATCTCTATGTTTACAGTTACTGTCCTGGGAAAGTCTTAGAAAACTATGTCAGCAAGCTCAGAAGCTGAGTTTTCAGGGCGACATAAAACCAGAACAAGCCAACTGGCCTTCCTAGGACTACAGCAGTCAGGTATGGCAGAGCAACTGACTTCCAAACCATGCCTGGAAGCCACACCCCAGATTAGCTGCTTGGCCACAGCACAGCAGTTGGACAAGGCCACTTGCCTGACAGCTATTGTTCTGCTGTTTGACTGAGAACATTAGCCTTTTGTAATATCTGTGGACGTCCTGTCCCAGGCCTGCTGCAGTGCCAACAGGGTCAGTTGTGCAGCCCGAGTCGGACATCCTGCCCAACAAGTCTGCCGTGGACTTTCGGAAACAATATTTTCCTCTCGGGGGTCACCAGATCAGGTATTTCCAAGGAAATGCTGATGCTCATCCTGTGTACAGGACTAGATAGCCCTGCCTTCCCAGGGTTTGTGGGGCATAAACACGTGAAGGGCACTGATAGGGCTCTGGAAGCAGATACTGCTGTGCAGCCCCAAGTCCAAACAAAGGATTTTGTCAGCTTCTCTCCAAGCAGAGGAGTGCTCGACTGGCCCTAGGAAAGACAGGTAGTCTCTCTCCTGTCTTCCAGCCATGTACTGCCTGTGCCATCAGGAAGCTTTTTCTCAGGCCTTGTTAATTCCCCCTTGCTGAATTTGAACCCCCTAACATTCCACTGCCCACTGTGGGTACAAGTAGGATGGATTTTTAGTTTTCTTCTTGCAGCAGCAGTCAGGATGCTCAGAGGTACTCCTGTCCTGCCTCAGCTTTCACTGTACACAAGTGCATTTACAAGCTGTTGCCATAAAATCCCATGGTCCCCCTTACCCCAAAGCCTAGAATAATTCTCCCCTTTCTGGCTCAAAGGGAGCTATTTGTCTTCTAGGGCTCTTTTCCAAAACCCAAAGAGATGTAGCATGTGTTAGATTTTCAGTTTCATCAGCAAGTGGGGATTTATTGCACCCATTTTTAAGTCATCGCTTCTCTGTGCACACAGGTATGCCTCTAATCAAAACACCAATCAAAACATGATCCTCTCCCTGCCCAGAAGCCAGCAGCCACCATTAAAGGCAGCTTTAACAACTAATGAATAACAGAGACACATCATGTCCCCAAAACACTCACTGTTTACTTCATGCAAGGCTGGACCCAAGAGAGGGTGTCCATGGAGACCAGGAGACACCAACAGCACGAGGAGTGTGTTACTCAGCATCCTGCTCATTGCCTGAATGTGTTTTTATTGCTTTTTGACTGTGCAAGCCAGCTCAGCTCTTGTCAGCAACTGGGACATGTCTGTGTAGTGCCTCAGGTTCCCTCTGCTATGGCCAAGAAGGAGTTTTATAAATTGGAATGTGGTGTTGGCTGCAGGAGAGACAGGAGGGCAAAGGTAGGAACTGTGTCTGTGACTCCCACCCACGTATTGAGCTGTTGTAGTAGGACCACAGCCAGGGACAGCTTGCCTTTCTAAGCCAAATACATTATGCATTTTGTTTGGTTTTGTCTGTTAATCATGAGGAAAACAACTGGGGTAGACCAAAATTTTTGTGGGTCTTTTTTTGTGTTTTTAAGAGGAGAAAAGACACAGGCAAAGGGAAAAATCCTTTGCTTACCACCCTTACCAGCACCTTCCTCCTCCAACCCAACATGATGGGAGCCTGGGCAACAGCTGGTCATTCCCTTGCACAATCTTTCATCAGCACAGATCAGCAAACATCCCTGCTGCTCCACCAAAAACCTGATAGTGTCAACCACAATGGATGGAGCACTGTCACTGCACAGATCCTCTCTGGCCTCCACCTGGTGCTCATGCTGGGCCCTGCTCTGGCTGTCACCCCCTCAGCCACACAACAGCCCCTTGCACATGAGGCAGCCATGGCTCATGGATCTGGCCTGGCAGTCACCTCAGGGAGAGGTGGTGAGTACAGAAAGAGAGAAATTGCCAAGATGTTTGTTTAAATCTGCTCTGCTTTTCCCCACTTAACTCTCAGCAAGGTAGAAAAACCCCACACCAATGTTGTTAAATCAGGTAGTGGTTACTCTGGCTCTCCTCCTCCTGTGGTAAGCATATGCATCCTTGTTCATTCAACTTAATTGTACACCCATTGCAACAAATGCTTTACTATTAAAATAATTGGTGGAAACATTATTAGAAAGTTGATTTTCCAGCAGGAATACAGCACTCCAGCACATGTAAGAAGAGCACATGTGGATATTGGCAGGGCTCAGACATGACTTGCAGAGTGATTAGGTTTTACTTGTGAAACTATGAAGTCCCATTTTAGTTATGAACAATGAGCACTTACATATTACAGACAGTAGAAAGCACAGTAATTGCCAGACACTTCCACACTGAGATGCTGAACAAAAACACAGCAAGAAGAAATTAGCATTGCAGGTTGGGAATTTGGCTGATCTGAGATCTTTTATTCCATCACAGTCTTGACTCAGTGACAAAGCCACACTCATAGGTCAGGAAACCTGCAGGCCCAAGTATCTGCTTAAACAGGACCCAAAAACACTGGATGGGATTAAAGGTTTCTGTGATATTGGACCATTGTTTTGCTAACTAGTCACTGCTGTTTGTATTCAAACAATAGGGAAAGAACTGTATTTAAAAGCTGGCTATTGTTACCAGAACAGTCACCACAGAAATCAAAAGCAATGTTTTATTCCATTGCCTGAAATCCCAGCTTTTTTAGTTCTTTAAATGAAGTGAAAAACAAAACACAACCCAGCTGACTGTGAAGTCTCCTGCAGGGATGGGTAGAGGGTGTGGATGGAAGAGAGAATAAGAGCACTTTTACAGCATTGCCCCATTTCCTTGCCCCTCACCAGGATGACTTCCTGATCTAAGCAGAGACACTGTACATTGCACACAGCCTCTGAGGAAAAATCAAACCCTCCTACTTCACTACCTAGTGACTCTAGAAAAGATCAGGAGAAATGACACAAATGCTTTGGGAAGCAGGAATCCCAGTCTTGGCTCACTTGCCATAAACCTAACAACTGCCAAGGCGGACGCATGCACACAAATATGTTGGCTGCAGAATACTTCTGGCTAATCCTGCTCTTCAAAATGAGTTTGAATAAATAAAAAACAGCAGAAGAAAGCAAAGTCATACAAGAAAACAAACTGCCCCACTTCTGTACAATATTTCCACGAAGCTCATCCTTTCAGCACCCATGGCTACCAACCCAGAGCCCAAGGGAATGACTCAGAGACAGCCTATTGCCACATGCACCCACATTTAATAATTTTCATGTGCTCCCTCTTCAGCCCCCTCTTCTAATCAAGAAAAAGAAACATCTCTAAGCTCTCTGTTTTGCTGAAGAATTTGAAAACTGAATGCTGGGAAGAAACACTAAAAATACTCAAGGGGAAAGGAGCAATGTAACTTGCAGTGCTGCAGCAGCAGTATCAAACACACATATATTAAGGTTGTGAAGCCACGTGGTTTTCATTTGGGATGTGTGGGGTGAACACATACGGTTGCTTTCTTTATACCATAAGCACAACAAAGGAAGGCTTTGTTTGAAAGCCAAGGGACAGCCTCTCGGCTCACTTAAAGGCTAAGTTACAACGTCATGGGAACTGTGAGTCATAGCTGTGGGGCCCCTGCCGACAGACACAAAACCCCTCTGCTGCAGCAGGCAGGGAGCTCAGCAAGGAGCAAAGCCTCCAGCTTCACATGGGAGACCCAAAGCGACCAGGACAAGCAGCAAATACAAGCTGAGAGCTGAGAGCACGTGTTATGGATGACTTAGCACACAAAACACATCCCTTTCAGCTGACATTTCTTCCTGTAATTCTGTCAGAGTGAGACCATAACCCTACACCTATTCCAAGAGCACGATGCAGCTATGAGTCAACAGGAAGGTGGGATAAACATCATCCAAGCACCTTCAGACCATCTTTTGATTTTGTCTGCAGAAGAGCATGGCCATGATTCTTAGACTGAACATAGCCAGCTCACTAGCTGGAACCACACTAGAGCTCTGTCCTTAAGTCACCAACTCTGCCAGATAATTTGTGTCATTGTGTGTTACAGGAAGGGAGGGTCAACTGGTGGATTACAGCTACCAAAACAGACATCCCTCCCATTCTTGCCCCTACAAGACTGGAAGATAAGGGTAATTTTTAATTACCATGAATAAGTGCCAATCTGCAGTGCTGAGGTGTCTGTGCTGCTGAACTTCAAGTATTTTTCCCCACATTTCCCATAGTCCCAAGGTATTGGGCTGCTAAATCCCCAGAGGCCTTTAGAAATCAAATTCTTCTCTGAAACCAGTAGCAGTAAGGCACCTGAACATCCAGGAGGAAATAGATTAGGATCGAAGCATTCTGGGTGCAGATGCAGAAGAACAAGCTGCTCTGAGAAGCATTATAATCTGAATATCAAGTGTGACATTTTAAGCTGGAGAACATCTCTTTAGGTCTGCCTCTGATATGTGTTAACACTCTACAAGAGCTTAAAAAATAGGAGGAAAAGGAGGTCTGAAAAAGCAATAGAGTTTCTTCCCTCTGCCTACATGCGTGGCTTACAGTGTGCCTGGATGATTTCTGGCGAGTCTGTTTACTTTATTCTGAAAAACTTCCACCAAACCTCTGCCTCCCAAGGTAGTATAAGCTACTGCTTAGTTGCCCGTACCTGCAGGAAAGCCTCCTTATCACTGGATGTGCTTTCTCCAAAACAAGCTGTTTAGATTCCTGCTGGGATCCTGGCACAGGCAGGTGGTATCTTGTCTTAGGGAGCTACTTCACCTCCTTGCAGACAGCGTGGGAACCATTTGCTCCCACTCCTCAGCTCACCACTCATCACCAAACCCTCTGCAGTTTGGAAGAGATGAAAGTCAGGCACTCTCAAGCCGATTTACATTGTTTTTTCTGTGTTTTATCACAAACTCTACCTTTTCAACTGAAGGCACCCACCATCCCCAGAGGCAACCCAGGGAAAGATGAATTGCTCACACAGGTGGGTCAGCTGACACCTTATAACTCATGTCCCTTTTCCTGCTCAGGCACAAGAACCTTCACTACGTGCTCTTCCCCTGGTTTCAAAAGTGAAGGAACAGTAACAGTTTTCCTTTGCCAGGCAACCAGAATAATCCTATGAGCTGGAGACTGTGCCTAACTGGGCTCAAATTCTGCAACAGCTGGCTGTAATGGTCCTCATCCTTGCCAACACCATGCTTGGTTTTTCTGAGCCACATACATGGCAGTGGGATGCATCAGATGTTTTCAGTATAACTGCTGAAGAAGCATCTCTGCCTTGAGGCAAATAATGTGCTAGATCAGCCAGAAAAACCTGCCTCTGGAGGAGGGATAATAATGAAAGATGGTGAATGGAAAGGAAAAAGAGAAAGAGCTTCATTTACACACAGGAGAATGGCAGTGGGCCAACTCTCACAGCTTTGATCAAGGCTGGCTGGAGGAGCATGCCAGGGAACTCTCTGAGCTTAGCTTGGCTAAAGCAGAGCAGATGTTTGAACTCTGTGATGGGAAAAAGGGGACAGACACCACCCAACACAGATCCAGAATAAATAACTAACAAAAAAAATAAATCACGTCGCGTTCATGAGCTAACAGGTACTCAGAGCTGTAGCAGGACATTATGGCAGCCAGGACTGCTGCTCTGGCTGCTCCCTCTGTCATCAGCTCCAGTTCTTGCCCTCCCACCACTGCTACCCATAAAGCCTCCTGTCACACACTCACAGAGCAGCACTGCCAGACATCTTGGTTTCACCCAGTTCTCCCTTCAGTGTGTTTTTAGGGGTTTTCATACAAGGATGAAAACTCTACACATCCCTGGCTTGTGAAAGCACTATTTTCCTTCATCTGCCTCTGCTGTCACCCTTGATCATCTCAAAGTTGTCCAGGCACTTCCAGGCATCTGCTCTCCCTCTAACACATAGAAAGAGGGGAATTCCAGTACTTCCCCAGTCTGCGTAAGGTACTTCTGACAAGTTCTCCATGGCAGCAGAAAATGCATCAGTAGCTGATGTCAGCAAAGCTTTGGACCCTTTGGTTCCCTCCTGCCATCACCCTCTGACTGCATCCCAGCTTTACCAAGCAGTCAGATAAGAACAACTTTATATTGAAAGTCCAAAAGAGAGGCTTTTAACACTGATCTTCCATACTAAAGCCATTTCCAAATTAAACCTTCACAACATTGGTACTTTTGCTTTGCAAGAAGCTGTCTGAATCTCACTGCTGGGAACATTCTAAAATATGAGCCACACCAATTTCCTTTCAGCATTTCTGCTGCAAGGCTCAAGATCTCCTACTGAGAGCCCATCAAGAAGCTTTTTTAAATCACATCAAATCTGGAAGGAAGAATGACCCCTGGAGCACTTACCTGCTACACAGCTTTGCAGGTGCTCATTAAACTTTGCATTACTGCTATCACCCTGATGCAGAGAAGACTAAATTCAGTCACCCGCCACTGAAGCACAGCCAGGAAGTCTGCAAAACACAAAGAGAATGAATGAGGAAGTGCAGGCAGAAGATGGGTACATAATGCAGTTATCTAAATTACAGATTGATTAAAAGAGAGATTAACTCACCCCCTTACCTAATAAAATGATCATAAAAGCTCGAAAGACCAGAAATAATCAGTTTGAGCTGATCAGGGAAGAGTTGAAATGCTGCTTCTCCCATGGGAAAGTGCATAGATCACACCGTGGGTCTCTCAGCCTTGTAGATGTGTCAGCAAGCAAGGACCTCCCTCCTCTGACTCCATTCTCACCCACCAGCACTCTTCTTTTAAAATGGATTAGGGTCAAATGAGCAGCTGCATAAGTGCAAGGGCTGGGACAGTTTTGTCTGGGATTGGTTTGTCTAGAAAAGGCAGCAGTAAGCAGCTTGTAAGGTAGAAATACTTGCTCGGGGAGTTGGGTTTACAGAGCTAATGGGAGAAACAGAAAACAGAAGAGGCAGGAAGCAAATGTAAGCACACAGGAAGATGTGAAACACAGAACCGCAAAAGATAAACTACAATATTTTAGGATAGAGAAGTGAAGAAATTTTATATGCAACAGGAAACAAAGGCCCCCAACCAGAAAGAGGAGAAGACTCAACAAGCTGGTTGCAGGCAGACAACAGAGACATTACCCAGCTGTGCATAAATGGGCTGGGGAGGAGGAATGCACCACCCTCATTTCCAGCTACCACCACTTCAAACCTTCCCACTGTCTTCATCCAAAGCCTGATGAGTGGGCTGAGTGTGGGCTGAGCTGAGCTTTAAGCCCATTTTAAGGGCTCAGCATTAGGTTGATGCATCCTTGCTCTCTTGAACTCCTTCAATTCACCTCCCTCCTCCTACATACCTGCTTTGACCAGACTGTGTGCACTTCTAGAGTTTCACTTCTCTATTTCCATCTTCCACTGTGAGACCAGACTGAGCAAATGGGCTCTACCCAGCCCTCCCATCTTGCAGGGCTGCTGATGCCTGTCTCTGCTCAATCAGTGCCACACCAGCAGCAGCAGCACAGACTGCTGAACACAGGAGAAAGACACCCCAAGCCCCAAAGGTCTGGATCTGCACTGTAATATCCCAGTGGATATTTGTAAACCCTCAGGGCCTGCAATGTCTGGTTTCATGGTGGCTCAGGGCCAGTGAGGTAGAGCAGGTGTGTCTGCTTAGAGGAAAGGAGCTATTAAATGCTGGGCAGGAATTGTTGCTATGGGACATACAATTCACTTGGTAAGATAATTTTAAATCTCAAAAGTTAGGATCTCCCTCAACTATGTTTACAGATGTTGGAGAGACCTTGACTGAACCTTATCAGTACTGGAAGACCGCAATGATGTCTCTCCAGAACCTCCAAGCTTAACAACTCTCTCAGCCAGTTTTCATTTTGGAGAGATGCTGCAACCCTCTGATCATCTTTGTGGCCTCTTTTGTACCTGCTCCAAGAGTTCCATGTCCTTTCTGCAGCACTGTGGGTAGAGTCTCAGCAGAGTGGAGTTGAGGGGCAGAATCCCCTCCCTTGACCTGCTACCCATGCTGCTTTGGATGCAGGCCAGAACACGTTTGGCTTTCTGGGCTATGGGCACACATTGCTGCATTGGTCCAGTTTTTCATTTGGAGAGACCCTAAAACATTCTCCACAGGGCTGCTCTCAATGAGTTCTCCCAGTCTGTTCTCATATCTGGGGCTGCCCAGGTGCAGCGAAATTCTTATGGGCCCACCTCTCAAACTTGTCCAGGTCTCCCTGGATGCCACCCCTTCCCTCTGTTGTGCCAACAGCACCACTCAGCTGTGTGCCATCTGCAAAGCTGCTGAGGGTGCACTTGATCTCACTATGCCACTGACACAGGTATTAAAGAGCACCAGTCCCATAGAGACACCACTGACTCACTCACACAGCCCATGACCACAACTCTCTGGATGTATCCATCCATACAGATCCTAACCCACTGAATCCTTCCAATTAATTTCTCTCCACTTTGGAGATGAGGATATCATATGGAATCATGTCAAAGGTCTTACAGAAGTCTAGGTAAATTACATCAATGTCTTCCCTTGCCAAACATTACAGTCACTCCATCATAGAAGGCCAGCAGATTGGTCAGGCATGATTTGCCCTCAGTGAAGCCATGCTGGCTACCTCAAATCACCTTTGTCTTGCATAAACCTTCTTAACACTGCTTCCATAAGGTAGACTGAGCAACCCAACAAAGAAGCACAACGTTTGTTTTGAGTCAGCCCTACATGAGAGCCTCCTCTTCTTGACAGAAATGAAAGCTGTCCCTGCTCCAGTGAAGCTCAGTGGCTGATCTGGCCTTCAGGTCATGGCAGTAAAACCTGTTTGTTTTGCTGCTGGTCAAGGTTGGCTCAGCCAACTTTGCATGGCCCATGTGTATGTGTAAGTATAACCAAGCTAAATAAAGAGCCCTGCTGCAGCTACACCCCAGGCCAGCTCTCCATCCCTCAAGCTGTTTGAAGGTTGGCCACCTGCCTCCCTGCCCGCTCCAAGGAGTGAGCAGGCAGAAGGTTTTGCTTACATAGCTGAGCCCACATCCCTGCAAAACCTGGAATTCATTACTGGGCACATGACAGTGCTGCCCAGTGTACACCCTGGCCACGCTCTCTCCCTCCAGCCTGGAAACCAGAGTCTCTACCTCTCTCCGCCACCCAACAATTACAAGTGTCGATGGAAAATATGCAGCCTGGCAGCAAACCTGCTTCTTCCCCAGTATAAATGGATTGTAATAACACTTGGGAAAGAAAAAGCTGGCCCACCCAACAGTCCATTTTAAAGGGGATCTAAAGGAACAAGCTAAAAACTTTTTTCAGCTTCCTTTTCCATTGTACCATTGCTATGGATTGCAAGTGCAGTTGCACAGAGCAGAGCGAGCAGGACAGGACAACAGGGAGACTCATGCAGGCTCTTCATGGAGCTCATACACTATTTTAATTAATTTGCAGGCAAGCCCCAAGATACTGAAACCACAGTCAACAGGTAGCTGCAAAAGCCAGACTAAAGTTGTCCTTTGGAAAACCATACAGTTTTACTCAAAAAACAAACTCAGAAATTAGTGAGGTCAGCTTGTGAAATACCAGTGTTAGGTTTCTGTGGATCAGATTCCTTTCCCATGTTAGTCATTGCCATGCAAGAAGAATTACAAGCACTGGCATCCCTCTGAGGCATCATGCAGACACACAAGAGCCCTTATTGCCATGGATAGCACCAACAAAAATAACAAAAGGGGAGTAGGACATGCAGCTTTTGGCTGCCATAGTCAAGAGATGGCCCAAAACAATTACTCAGAAAAATCGAATTCCTCAGTCCCTGACTAGGGCTATTTGACTTGAGGGTGGAAAGTAGTGTTATTTAAAAAAAAAAAGAAAAAAAAAAAAGAAGTAATGCTCCAAGCAACAAGAAGAGGAAGACAGGTAGGTGAGGGGCCACCACCTGAGCTCTTGATAAACATGTTCAGTGCCTTCGGTGTGCACAGGTCACTTCTTCCTTGCAGATGCCACTGGTGTGAACACAGATAAATTACTGAGTCCTGTACACACAAGTCATGCAAGCAAAAAATAGTGTTGTCTACAGCTGGGAGCCAAGAAACCCTCAGGGTTGGTGCCAGTACTTACACTGGTTCTCTGAATTTGGGAAATAAATTCACCTCTCTCCACATCTGTGGCAATCACACTTAACATGTGCAGTTCCCATGTGAGAGCAGCATGAAGCAGCTACTGTGCTGAAAACAAAGTTGAAGAGAAGGCTTGAAGATTTTATTCCTAATTTCTATACTCTAATTTTGTTTGAGGGCTGATAGAACCCCTTTCACTTATACTAAGGAGAATCTGATTTTAAAAGCAGATGCCTATGAAGGTAGCCAGAATCACTTTAGTTAGAACTGCAGAAGAGCATTCTCATCATCACCAAACCACTCACAAACCACCAAATCACTCACACAACACAATATGCTGCACTACAGCAGCTCTCCTGTCCAAGTGCTGCTTTCACGGCAGCTCAAGTCCTTGCCTGGCAGCTCATGGCAAACACTTGTGCCTGAAGGAGATGCACTGGGTATGGGCAAGGCCTACAGCACTCATTAAAGTACATATTAATAGTAATGTTCGCTTAGAGACACTGCTCATCTTGCCTGACCATGTAAGAGATGCCTCCTATTTTCCTGAAGTATTTTAGCACAGCAGTTCCCAAGAGAACTGCTTCAGTGGGAGCCTGCCAAGCTGAAGATGCAAAGGCCAGTAAGATTTGTGTTCTGCACATCAGTTTTAGAGCCCATTGTCTTCCAGTGTCACAGTCCTGGCTCACTCTGGTTTGAGCTACAAATACCTGCTGGCCACCTTCAGAAACATGCCTACACACATGAAGAGCAGCTCTACTGAAAGTATCCCTCCAGCTCTGCTGAAAGCTTCATTCCTTCTCTCTGTGCTCTTTAGAGAAATGTTGTGTATCTCAGAAGAAAGAAATTTTAAACCCATGCCGCGTAACACTGAACAGGCAGCGAGGCTCAATGATGCATTTCGCATGGACTGTACATGTCCGAGGTCAGCGCTGGCCCCAGGACCCCACGGGCTGTGTCAGCAGCAAAGGGCGATGGCCGAGAGCTCTCTGTTCACTCGGCTCGGTGCCGCCGAGTCCCCGAGGGGCTGCGGCCGCTCTCCCGCCGCCTTCGGCTCCCGCCCGGGCTGCAGGGAGAGGGATGCCCAAAGCCCTGCAGGAACTTTGGCGGGAGCAATTCCCCGTCCCAGGGGCCCGACCCTGCCTGTGCCCCGGTACCCACCGAGACGGAGAACGCGCACAACACGAAAGTTACCCCGTCAAGAGAAGCCGGGGACAGCCACCCCAAACCCCGCCGGGACACGGGCACCGGGACAGCCACCCCTGTCCCTTGGGCCACCCGCGGGAACGGGAACGGAACCCTGGGCAGGGCGCTGGCAGGGTGACAGGGATGTCACAGCGCTGAGGGGTGACAGGGATGTCACAGCCCCAGGGGTGACAGGGATGTCACAGCGCTGAGGGGTGACAGGGATGTCACAGCCCCACGGGTGACAGGGATGTCACAGCGCTGAGGGGTGACAGGGATGTCACAGCCC